CGTCCTAGTTATGAATTTGGAAGAAACCCTCACTCTGAGAAAAGCATCCTGAATGTAAGGATTCTCTGCACAGTCTCGAGGCCCATGAGCTGCCAGGGCCAGGGCCAGCATGTCACCCAAGGTGACTCTGTTTACAGGGGTGGGTCGGCCACCCTCTGATGTGTGGTCAGCAAACAGCAAGAGGCAGGACAAAGGGGAGCTCCCACTCACACATGGGGGTGGCTGAAACCCAGGGGTCACCCAGGGGTGGCTGAGAAGCTCCCTGGGCAAGATCTGCTAGTCCCCACAGTGGACAGAGCTAAGATCTAGGGTAGGGACTCAGATATTATTTTGAGAGCCACTATCAACTGCACAAAATTACTATTATTGCCCTAGAAGCCACAAAGGGTTCTTTCTTTCTCCGTCTGCTGTTATTTGGATCAGTAGTGTATGAAGCAGTGGTCACCACCCTGCCCACCCCAATCTCCTTAGCGTCACCCCATCACGGACACTTAAGTGTCTTGAATCTTTGTCAGTTTTCTGCAATTTCTTGAGGATTTAGCTCCCAGGCCTCCAGCCAGCCAGTGCAGTCACACCATAAATGTAATTAATTAGAAGAGTGCTTGGGATCAAATAAAATAACAGGAGAAATAAAACCTTTCAGAAAAGAAGATGCATATCTTAAAGACATCATTGTATAAAAAAATCTAACATTTGAAAATATTACAGTAAGTCAGAAACATGAACCCCATTTTGTGTATTACCGTATCTTAGAGTTTCATAATTACTCAGTTCTAGAATTTCCAAATCACTATTATAATCTCATTTTTTAGAGGAGTTGGTTTTTGGTTTTGGGTTTTATTTCTTTTTTCACTGTCTTCTCTTAATGGTTGTAGTTATCTCTGAGCTCAGCACTAATGCTGTGGCCTATCATCACCCCTCCTGCCATGCATATGCCTCACTCTTCCTGTTCATTCATCTTCTGCAAGCTTCTGCTCCTAGCCCTTCCCCTGCCAGGTCAGGATGAGGGCTTCCCACGCCAGCAAGCATCGTTAGGGGTCCCTGCCGTCCTGGGCCCTTTCGCCCATAAGAGCCAACACTGTCCTTGGGGCGTCCTTCAGTCCCTCATAACAGTTGCTTGCTTTGGACATTGGGAAGACCCAGCTCACCCCGATTTGGCATTTGTCCTGTGACTACCATAGGCACCCACATTTTAAACTGAGTCTGTTGCTAAGGAGACGTAATCCCTGGCAATGTGGCAGCGTGCCCATCCCCAGGCCGGCCCTGCCATGCCTACAATCCCCTGGAGCCCTTTCCAAAACTACTGCTCTAGGCCAGGACCTACTAAAACTGCTCTAGGTCCCTCTGCAACCACCTGGCTGGTTCATGAGGCACCAAGGCCACGCCAGCCTTGGGTCTGGATGACCGTCTACCCAGGTCACCCACTCCTGAGACCTCTGCTCTCTCACCAGACTTTCCAGACTGTCTCTGCTCTGCTTTATCACTCATGACACTGAAGTCTTCAACATGATATATTTATCTATTTATTGTCTGACACGCCCCACCCCCACCCCCTCCGCTGCCCAATACCTGACTGGAAAGGTAGTTTGGTGAGGTGAGTGCTTGTCTCACACAGCTGTTGGTGCCTTTTAAAGTGCCTAGTCACGGTACCAACTGATGGTGACATTGGTTGAATGAATGAGTGAACGAATGAGTGGGTGAATGAGTGGGGTTAGGGGAGTCTGCAGAAGGGTTAGCACTCAACCCCATGGACACACCCTCAGTGCTCCAGTCTTACCTGGTCTCCCATTTTGTGGGCAATGACAGTGGCGCCTTCTTCTAGTTCTGTGTCATTGAGTGGACGTATCCGAAGTGCTACCTGTGGGAAGGACACCTGGTAACTGCTCACGATTCTTCTAGTACATCAGGAAACCCTGAACGCTCCCTCCTTGCCCTCACTCACCTGTGAGTGTCACACTCTTTGGTGAAGCAGTTAAGGTTATGGATCCCCAGCCCCCTACAGTGCTGACATGTATGCAGCCCCACAGCAACCCTTGGAGAGAAACGCTCTGATTACAGCCACCCTCAGGCATCTCAGATGGAGATTGAGGCACAGAACAAGCTGTTCAAGTTCACAGTTGCTAAAAGGTCCTACGTCACCCATTAGTACTGCATTTTCTTCAGCATTCTCCGCACCCCTGGAACCCCACCCTAAGGTGGATCTCTGGAATTACACTGACCCCTAAGTCTTGCATTCATCTCAAAGCCTGCCTCAATAAGCCATCATGAACTTTCTAGGTCTCTACTGTCCATCTGTCAAATTGGGGAAGTTCCTCCCCATGGCCGTGATGCTCCCTGGGGAGTCTTGACCAGACATTCTATAACCTGACTGCAGGTTTAAGGCAAGCCTCTGACCTCCACTGACCACCAATCACAAGGGCTGATGGCCCCAATCACCCAGCAGATGGAGTAAGCCAGGCAGGGGGTGCCTGCCTCACCCCATCTGGGGTCATGGGCTGCCCCTGAGCCAGGCTTTAGACCCCTGGAGAAGGGTGAGGAGGTAGGGGAGTTTGGCCCTTGGAAGGTAGGTAGGAGGGAGCCCTAGCTCAGGAGCAGCGGCATAGTCCTGGAAGTGGGAGCTGACAGAGCTGAGTCAGCTCTGGAGAAGCAAGGAGCAGACTCAGATGAGCAGCCCAAGGCTGTCAGGGGACTCAGGAAGGGTGCTCACCATGAGCTGCTGGTCCTTGGGCTCCACCTCCCTCATGGCTGGGCTGCCCCGGGCTGGGGAGGGGCCGATGGTGGGGCGGGAGAGCATGAAGCTGGCCAGAGGACACTCCCTGCTCTCCTGGCAGATGTGAGACCTGTTCCTGCATCAGCCCTGCCCCGCCCTACCCAGGTGACATCAGCAAGCCCCAGGAGCCCAATCAGTCCTCTCAGGATGCAGGGACTGCCTGAGTGCGTTGTGGTTCTGGTGGGCCCCAAGCAGCTGACAGGCCCAGCCCTAGTGGAGACAGGAACCTCACACATACTGACCAAGCCTTGATGTCAATGCTAATCTATTATCATGGTGATCCAGGGTTCCCACCCCACTAGCTGGTCCCTGTAGATGCCTGAACAGAGTAGTTACATCTCTTGCAAAATGGGGTCCTCTTTGGTTTCCTGGGAAACAGCCATGGAAAAGGACTAAGATGGCTCCTGCCCCTCCCTCCAAAGGTCCTCAAAATAGGTCAGGTATGCCTTGGTGCTTTTCCAATTTTGAAACAGGTGAGTTGTGAATGCTCATGCCCCAAGAGGAATCTCAAAAGCATCCTTGAAACCTTAGACTTCTGCTAATGGGACAGGGATTTTAGCGCTTTTCCCACACTGTCAGTCTGCACACCCCACACAAGGCCACAGGATTAACCAGCCCTATTTACTGGCTAAATGCCGCACCCACTTTTCCACTGTGGTCTCCAGGGAAGTCATTGCATTGTGAACCTCATAACCAGCGCAGGCCGTTACCTCCAGGTTGCACAGCTAACCAGATGGCAGCATTTTTCCTGTTGGGAGCCAGAGATTGGTGCCAAACAGCACCAATCAGAAAAGTTCAAATCTGAGAACCCAACTAGAGCTACAAAGACCAGAGGCCCATGCCCACCAGTGGGGTTGGATCTGAGGTACCCATGACTCCCCAGCTTGGCAAAGCCTAAAAGCAGTGACCCCACTAGTTTAATTTGGTCCAGACACAACAGTGCTCTTCCTTAGCTTTAGCAGTTCTGGGCTGCAGGACACCCTTCACACATCAATCAATCAAGGCCAGGGACAGCACCCGCCTACTACATCCCCTTCTGGCTGAGCATGACCACGGGGAGCCTGCTGCAGGACCCGGGTCAGCAAGCCCCTATGTGCAGCAAGCCTTCTCATGCCACGACTGCCTCTGGAGACCAACCAAGACCTCACCTATGTTCCTAGGCCAGAACTTGGGTATCCTCTGGTAACCTCCTTCCTTAAGTCCCCAGCCCCTGCACCCCAGGGCAGGTTAGAAAGTTCCCTACAAAAAGCAGTCTCATGGGAAGTTTCATTTCGATAGCAAAAGTTAAAAGCAAACACAAATGTTTCAGAAATTCCTTTATTTACAAACTGTGTAAAACAATTACAACTAGCAAGTTTAAAACAGTGAATTAACTTTCTGAATGCTGTGTAAAATCTATTTAGAATGGTGCACCTTTTCTTCTTAATGACATGAAATGGAAAAAAAAATCCTAGATCGTTGCATGTTTAAGTTTAAAAACCAGGAAAACAAGAATCACTGCAAGATGTGCACCGACGGCATGAAGACACTTACGTGACAAGATGCAACAATGACGGAGCTGCGGAGAAAGCAGAGGACAGGCCAAGACGAACACCCGCCTCGCCCGGGAGCCAGCTCAAGGTGGGTCTCAGGCCGGCCAGCACCACACAGCCCAGGGTCACAAAGCACGGCTGCCTGGGTGTGGGGCGGGTACCATCTAGTTCCCAGATGTCTCTAGGTTTGTGCATACCTGATTTCAAAGTGTGGTTGTTCTGTGCTTTGCTGCTTTTTAAACTAAGCTTCAGGTCCCAGCAGGTAAATCAGGAAAGAAACTGCAACTTGACAAGGCACCAACGGTCACCTAGACCTGGCAGATAAAACTGGATCGGTATCACATGGATTTCACTCCCTTCTCGGTGAGGGCAAAGTAGTTAAAGATTGAAAGAGGACCCTGAATGGCTAAAACACATTTCACTGTAAGTCTTCAAACTTGCAGAACTCCGAGGAAGTCTAAAGGATATTTTCTCATCCAGAAAAACGATGAGCATGGAAAACAAAACAGAAAGACTGCTCAGTTGTTTCAACTGAAAACACAGTAAACGAGGAGGCTGCATGTTCCCTCCTTGCCACGAGTGCCTAAGGCGCGTGAATGTCGGGTGCCCAGGAGTACTGCCAGGGGAGGGGCAAGAGGCACCAAATTCAAGGCCACTTGAATTTCACTATCTATGTTTAAAGAGAGGAGAAAGACAGCTTTTTCATACAGGTTTGCTTTATTTCCACGTTCAGCCTGTTGAGAGAACCTGCCACAACCTGAATGGTGGAGGCACCACAGTAGGCGGTGCCCTCTGAATGGTGCCTGCTCCCCGCTGGTGTTTGAGACACTCCTATACTCCCCTGCCCAAGGTCAGTGAGTCCTCGAAGGAAATCACTTCCCACGATGGTGCACCTCAGAATCCCACCAAAAGCTGGAGGGAAAGGTGCCCGCCGCAGCACTGCGCAAGAGTCTAATACTGGTGGTGTTGTTTAAAAAACCCAAACAAGAAAAGTTTTAAAGCAGTGCCTTAACACCACCCCCTCTGTGGATACCAGGGGTCAAAAGGCACAGCAGTGTGTGGAGACGGAGAATCTCAGGAGTGGTCGCAGTCCAGAGCAAGAGCGCACAGGTAAATTCAGAGTCATGCAGGCTTTCTGCAAAAGGATGACCTTGGTTCTGGCACACGATTCAGCAATGCTGCAACAAAAGAAAACTGTTCATGCTGTCATGTAACTTAAGAGATCTAGGTTGGACATGCCAGATGTGGGCATTGTGGTTATTTAGCAATGATCACTTTTCTGTGGGACATACCCAGGTCTTCCAGCAAGGACTCCTGCAAATGCTCCAGTACAACCTCACTCTCCCCCGAGACATGTCATCCACCAAAATCTGCCCTGGCCCATCCACCACAGCCAACCCTGCTTGAAGGAGCCCTTCCTTCAATCAGCTCAGGACCCCAAAACCTTCAGATAAAGAGTTCACCCAAAAGTCAAGAGAATAGCCCCTGACTACAGTTCAAGCGCAAAGCTTTTATTAACTGTGACTACATAAAGCTGGATGTTCATTTGTTACCTTAAAATTTTTTCTAACTATGTGAAATGCAACAGAACAAAAAAGAAAAAATAACCAACAGAGTACTAGCTATATTCCTATTTGGGATCTTACCACAGCGATCTCAAATCACTCCTGATTCCCAAGAGGGATGATTTCTTCAGTGACAAAAAACTCAATGGTCTCCTCCTCCCAGTCATCGACATTGCTGTCCAGTTCATCTGTGTCCACACCTAAGAGGACAGAGGGGAAAGGTTATGCAGAGTACAGATGAGGGAGGTTCCTGGGTTCGCATGCCAAGGCCAACCAAGAAGCTGTGTGCAAACACAAGGAGTGTGGCAGGACTCCCAGTTCTTTGGTGACTTTAAGAATCTTTATACAGGCCCTCCCTGGTGGCGCAGCAGGTTAAAGCACAGCACGGAGAAGCTAAAGCCACTTCTGCATAAGTTCGATCCCCGCCCCGGATGCGACCCACACGGCACGGCAGACCTCTCCTGACCCGCCCGCTGCTACCCTCAGCAGTGTACTTTGTCGATTTGCCTGTCATGCTCCTCAATCTGGATCCTCTCACTGCCCCTGCACCTCTGGCCTGTACCCCAGCAATGTATTAATAAATAAATAAATCTTAAAAAAAAAAATCTTTATACAAACACCTGCTGAACACAGATACAAAGAGAGAAGTATTTCAGCAACTATAAGCTTTAAAATAATCTACCTGCAGCTAGTCAACTTACCTCCTCGCAACTCTAGACGTTCGTTCTTCTGTTCCATATAGAGTTCTTGGGCCATTTTCCGGTATTTTCGGAAATCTTCCATCATGGTTCGTCTTCTCTCAACCAATTCCTATGTAGAGAGTTGGGGGAAGTTGCTGAGCCATTACTTCACTTACCATCATGTTTCTGCTTCACCAAAAGTAAACACATTTTATCAGCAAGAACTCCACATCACTGGGTGAGGGCAGAACTATTTAGAGACTGAAACAGGAGCGGTTAAATATATTGGTTTTTACTTCTCTTCTCTAATGCCACACACAACCCCACATACCCACCAACCTTTCTAGATTCTTGTATCACCCCACACCCACCCCAATATCTAAAGAGTCAGCCACCAGTTTTATGACCAGGTCTGGCACAACTATCCCCAAGTGGCTGCCCCTGAGGGCCCGTCCCTGCCTGGTCCTGCCTTCTCACAGCCAGCACTGGCTCCTCTCTGTCGTCAAGGGATGGGGGCCACCTTGGGTTTTCTCAGAGGCTAACCTTTGAGGCTTTGGATTGGCTCAAACGATCCTTCTGCTCAAAGATCTTGGAGTATTTCTTCAGATCTTTTTTAATTTGCTGAAACAAAGACAAGTCACTCAGGATTTAAACATTCAAAGCAAGAACTGCAAGTGCAATCTCCAAAACTGCAGTGGGACAAGGCCTCTGTCAGCAGCAGCACACGCCTGCAGAAGCGCTCCAGCGCCAGAGTGGTGTGCACGCCACTCACCGAGACTGGCTGGCCTTCCTGGTATCTGAACTTAATGTCACCTGCATATTTCACCATAATTACATAAATCCCACACTATCTCTTCTAATGCTACCAGGGCTTCTTCACAGCCCCTCCATTTCACACAAACTTCTAAAAATGGTTCTGATGTGATGCAAAGTAACCTGAAAATCTAAGCATACTCTAAAATGGTCTTTTTCATTTGATTCTTACTGTTCTCTTTCTAAATCCTACTGTCACTCTTAAGAGTTATACCTGAAATAGGATCAAAACTGGGGCAGGAAGAGCACATGGGACTATGGTGATGGCACACAGGTGAAGTGGTGGTGGGAAGTCCATGGGGATTACAACTGAGATGAAAAAAATGTAGAAATTGAAGACAGGTGTAAAAAAATATATAAATATAAAAATAATAATTAAAAAAATAAGAGTTATAAGAGTTATACCTGAATTTCCCTGTCTGCATATGTGGGGGGAAATTTTATCATACCCCCCAGGTAGCACTGAATCTAATAATGAGTCAGATACTACAACCCAAAGGTAATACTGTCAAATAACCCTTGAAAAATAATAAGGATTTTAAAATGAGTCAAGATACTCTCTCATAGATGTTCTTATTGTTCTTGCATCTCTCTTCAAAGGGTCCCCCATACACATAATACTGTTTTCATTGCTCACTTATTACTACCCTAAAAGTAACAGGAAAAAACACAGTATTTCTCTAACTGCCTTAATCCCCCCACCCCCACCCTTATTAACCTGGTGAGTCATCAGACCTTTATCTGATCCTGGCTCAGGAGTGTTGGGGGCCGAGGTCTCCAGAGCAGCTGGCAAAAGCGATCCTTGTTATTCTTTTGCAGAAGGCGTCCTTGGAAAGTCCACAACCAATAAGCATTGTCCACCTAGAAGAGAGCCAGATCACACTGAGCCGCTCACCCCAGCAAATTTCACAAGAGATACAGAGAATCTAAGTGTCTCAAATGTCAACAGAACCAACAAAACTACTTCACCTCTTAACAAATGGTTGAGAGTCAAAGTCACGGGCATTCAGAGGACATAGGTGAACAAAAACAAAGTTCTCTGTCTTTGTTGAGCTCCCATTCATAAGAAAGACAGCAAATAGGGGATTATGGAGAGTTAGTAGTAAATCACAGTACAGAGTTGCCACAAAGCACAGGATTTTTCACTACTGGCCTGTGATGAGGAACTACATCACTGTCACTCAAATGGTTTCTGAGACATTCTCAACAGGGAAAGCCAGGCTTGGCATCACCATCCAGTGAAGGCTGTACAGAGCAGCAATTTAATAGAGTGGTCAGTCCAAAAGCAAGTTTCAAGGTGGGTTTCATGGAGGCAACATTTGAATAAACACAAACTGTCATCCCTACAGAGCACAGAATTTCGACATTTATTCAAGTTATATATCTTTTTTGAAGATACTAAAGAGAAAAGCAAGATTCTCTCCTGAGAAAAACTTGCACAAACACGTTTTTCATGCCCTTTCAGTGAGCCCAACAGGTCACAGAAAAATAAGCCCCCTCACTAAGTACCAGACATGCACCTGCCTAAACCACCCTCCACAATTCTAGAATCCTCTCTGGTCCACTGACACATCCTCAAGTCTACTGTGTAAGAGAGTAGTAATGACCTTTTCAAAGTAAATACATGATTAACAAACAGTTAATTGATTGAATTGCATGCCAATTCAATCAATCAAAGCAATCAATCAAGCAAAACCTACACCATGACGTTGCCAGGCAGTGAATTCACAACTCAGAGCAAGAAAAAAGGTGCTCGACCTCACAGTGTCTATTACAGCAGAAAAAGGAGACAATGAACTCAACTACTTAAAACAAATTCATATCATCTGGAGCACCATGAAAGTTAAGAATATGAAATGATACAGTGCCCTGGTGGGGATCCTCTATAGACTGAGCTTGGAGATACCTGAGACAGGAGACCCCAAACACATGGGAACTATATTCCAGGTTGGGGAGGAATACAAAGGCCAAAAGGCAGGGACAAGCGTTGTAACTGGAAGTCAGTATGGTTTCCATCAGGGAACAGACAAGTGGGAGATATAATCAGTACCAGCAAAGTTTGTACCACAAAGAGCTGAACAGACAGGCAATCAGGTAATTATTACTCACATCATGAAACTTTAAAGAGGAAAAGAATGACACTGGAAAAATATGTAGAAACCAGGATGTATCCTCACTCTATATGCAGGCCACAGTAAGCAATTTGGTTTCATTCTAAACTGCAACGAGCATGTTACATACTGGGAAAGCACAGCTTTTCACTTTAAAAAGTTCTCTGGGCCCTCCCTGGTGGCGCAGCGGGTTAAAGCACTGCACTGAGAAACTAAAGCCACTTCCGCATGAGTTCGATCCCCGCCTGCCCCGGAGGTGACCACATGGCGAGGCAGACCTCTCCTGACCCGCCCGCTGCTCCCCTCAGCAGTGTACTTCGTCGATCTGCCTGTTCTGCTTCCCGCTCTGTCTCTGGTGAATCCTCTCACCCTCCGCATCTCTGGCCTGTACCCCAGTTCTGTACGAATAAATAAATAAATCTTTAAAAAAAAAAAAAAAGTTCTCTGGCTGGGCTCTCCCTGGTGGCGCAATGGGTTAAAGCACCACATAATGAAGCTCAATGAATCCGGTGCAGCTCAAGTTTGATACCCGGCCAGGGAGCTGACCCACATGGCGTGGCAGACCTCTCTCCTGTCTTGCTTGCTGCTCCCCTCAGCAGTATATTTCAGTAGATCGGCCTGTTCTGCTCCCCACTCTGTCTCTGGTGAATCCTCTCACCCACCACCTATACCCCAGTTTTGTAAGCATAAATAAAATCTTTAAAAAAAAAAAAAAAACAGTTCTCTGGCTACTGCACCAGCAGATGGCAGGTGGAGCAGCTGACAGATGACATGAGAGCAATCAAGGAATGCAACGTGGCCATCTGGGATGACGTGCTGGCTGGGCAGGAAATATCAACCAACTAACAAGTTAAAGCAATGCCCACTCCTTAAGTAGTGGGAAGAGGTATTATCACGCGTGGCACTCCTCCTGAAGTCATCTGCCTGCCTGGTTTCATACTGCAGGTCCACATACCTTAGTTTACCAGGTCCACATACCTTATGGCTCCACCAGGACACAGAGGTGACAACATAACGCCCAGTAGGATCCCATTCCACATCGGAGGCCATGTAGTGTTCTGCAATGTTCATGACTGTACAGTCTGATGTGTCCACAAATGCCAAGGCACCATTCATGCTGAGGAGACACAGACACAGTCAATCTAAGTAGAACTGTAATTTCTGCAGAAGCTATTCTGGCACCACCACTCAGTAAGGGGTAGGGCTCAGCACATGGATCAAGAACCTCAAGCATCCCCTAACCACAGCCTTGTTACCAATACAGAAATATCACCCATCTCCCAAAGATGTTGTAAACGAAAACCCATAAAGTGCATATGGTAAGCATTAGCTGCCTGCTAATGTGATGTTCAGAGAAAAGATTATCTGAAGCTCAGCCTCCCAAAATTTCAGTAATTGGTGCTTTCATGAAGTAGGAGGAATAAGCAACTGAGCGTGCTCTAATGCAGAGCCAGGACACTGCAGCAAATTCTTCAAGATGTCTATACATTTGTTGAACAGCAACTAATAAGGGTCATGGGAAGGGTGAGTTTGTATGTTCTCTGAATTATGCAAACCACCTGAGAACAGAAAGGGCAGGTTTGATTAGACAGTCTTCCTACATTAGTGTATGTGATGGCAGGAAGAGCACTTGCTTGGAAAGGAAGTATAACCATAGATGTGTCTTCAAGACAACACTAAAAGCATCTACATGTTGCCTGTTTTAACCTGCCTGGCCTTGGCCCAAGTCTGGGAAGCAGGATGGAGACATCCTAGGTTGTTCTGTGCCATTCTCTGGAAAATGGGAAAAGGCCCTCTCCCCGAGTACTCAAGAACTGGCGCACCACGGTCACCATTCAGAACCCACACAGGAGACAAAGGGCTCAAGCATTAGGGCCTCTCAAATTGAGTAGCAGGCAGGCACCTACCTCCTCAGACCAGCCAACACCACAAACTGCCCCTGGGGACTCCAAAAGATGGTGTTTGCCTGCTGCTTATCAAACATTTCTGAAAGGAAATAAAGCACCGATTAAAATTCTTTTTAAAACTTCACAGCCAAGGTAGAGACCAGACTGAAAGACATGGCTATGAACTCCCTCTACCCCCATCGTGTAGCCCTGGCAACAATACACTTAGCTGGAACTCTGTATTCCAGACCTATTTGTACCTTTGACCACTCTTACAGGACATCTATTAAATCTAATGGCCTACACTTAAAAAGAGGGAGCCAAGAGAATCTAACGCTGTAACACTATTTTTAATATGAAACAATGGCACCAAAAGTTAATTCAACCAAAGAATCCACTTAAGAGTAAACATGTAGTTTCCACCAGGGCAAGAAACCCAGCCTCCATCAGATTCCCAAGGGTCTGATGAAAAACAAACCTAAAATCCATCCTTCTAGTGGACTACGCGGCTCCCTAAACTATGTCCATGAAAACATAAACCCACTACCTCTGCAAATCCTCTAGCAGCATGCTTACTCCCTGGCAGGGCCCTGTGCAGTGACTTAGTCTCTTCACTCAGAGCATGCCCAGAGGTAACATCTGGGGCACCTTCCCTCTATCCACAACTGATTTAAAGAAATGTGAGCAGTGCAGAAGAAAAACAATGTGATAAAAAGCCGTACTACCCCATGGGAGTAGGATCCTTAGAGCAAACAAGGGAAAAACTGTAACCACAAGTCCTGGAACACTAACCGCTGCCATGTTGATATCCAAGATTACACCGACTCCTCAAGGAAAGGTGCACAACGCAGACCACTCAAGAGGTGAAAAGGCATTTTTACTTGCTGTTTTATAACCAGATGCAACGAAGAGTCTCCTCAAAGTCTACAAATGTCTCAGTTCTGAGATACTCAATTTATTTCATCACTAAATAACTACTACACATGTCAGGAAATAACAACTTAATACTGTTTACAGAATTATTTTTGGAAAAGCCGTTCCTGGGGCACAGGCTGCTGTAAGAGACTGGGAGCAGCACCCTGTCCTCATGGGGAAAGGCCATGGAAAGCAGCCAGGTCATGTCTGGCTAGAGTGCAGCCACATCTCAGCGGACCCTGCCACCATCACCACATGGAAGACACACTATGAAGCAAACAGCAAGTCAGCACATTTACTGAGGACATCCATGTGCTGATCAGCACTGAGGACACAGATGAGAGTAAGCACAGTATACTCGAGAAAGGCGCAGGCCTGGGCTAGGTGCAGTTTGGTGCTGCCAACAATGCAAATGGCAGGGCCCTTGCAAGCAGAGCAGAACGAGAGTGGGATCCAGGAACCTAAACCAAGAGAAGGGGCATGTGGCCCCCAAGTCCACACTGAAAGAGCAGCTACAGATGTAAGAGATATAGACAAGACTTCATCCAAAAGGAGGGGTGGAGAACACAGGTCCAAAAACGTGAATGTTCTCTGTGACTATAAAGGGCTCCTTCCAGCGTATCACCACTGTCATTCACTGGAAACATTTCACTCTCATAGATGTATTCAGATTCAGGCTCAAGCTCAACCAGCTGCTTCTGGGACAGTTGAACCTTCTCTGTTGAGCAATAATGAGGTTCTATTATGTGCATCCATACCCAAGGTGGAGTGCAGTTACTTACTGATGAGCTCAATCTTCCCGTTGTTTTTCACGTGGTAGAAAGAAACTGATATCCGAGGGGCTTCCCCGTGCAGCACAGCAAACTTACTCCCATTTGGTTCCCAAGCAAAAGCTATAATGGTTTCTATGATCAAGAAAACAGGATGAGCCTCTTTTTGTCACTTAGGAAATATCCCTGAATAGTTAAAACTGTCACTATTCTACCAGAGAAAATGTCCCAAATCCTGAAATTCCTTTGAACATTGTAAAGGAGGGCCTCCCTGCTGGTGCAAGGGGTTAAGTCTTAGCACAACGAAGCTATCAGCAGCCACTGCAACATGAGCTCGATCCCCGGGCAGGGAGGTGATCCACATGGCACAACAGACCTCTCCTGTCTTGCCTGCTGCTCCCCTCAGCAGTGTATTTCAGTAGATCTGCCTGTTCTGCTCTCCACTCTGTCTCTGGAGAATCCTCTTCCCACCTCCCTACCTGGGCCTACATCCCAGCCTGTGTGCACAAATAAATCTTAAAAGAAATGTCATAAAATGGATACAGAAACAAAGCTGCACACTACAAAGGGTACCAAAGTGGCAGTTAAGTCATGCCTGAGCAATGAAATGAGCTATGTGCCTTAGCAGTAGGGTTGTGAGGTGGTGATACTAATCAGGCATGGCCCCAGATAATCTTTTCTAACATTCACTATTGTACCTACAGTATAACTTACTGCCACTAGGAAGTGGCCAGTTCTCATCTCTGTACCTGCTCTCTCCTAGCAAAATAAAGTCAAACTAAAAAAAAAGAGAAGGGCCTCCCCGGAGGTGCAAGGGATGGAGTCTCAGCACTATCAAGCTATCGGCAGCCACTGCAACAGGAGTTCAATCCTAGGCCAGGGAGCTGACCCACATGGTGCAGCAGACCTCTTCTGTATTCCCCGCTGCTCCCCTCAGCAGTGTATTTCAGTAGAGTCACCTGTTCTGCTTCCTACTCTGCCTCTAATGAGCCCTCTCACCTCCCACACCTCTGGCCTGCACCTCATCTCCTGTATGCATAAATAAAAAAATAAAGTGAAATTTCCCATCTAAAAATAAAAACACAGCATCTAAAGAGTTTAATGATCCCAAACAAAAAAGGCTCTATGAAACTGAAACTCTAACACATAAAATGAAATGCTCTTCTGCTACCTGACATTGAATGTCTAATTGAAAACCTGTTCTTTGCAACTTTTCTCCTCTGCTGTATCAGTTGGTGTGGTGTGAAAAAAAAGTGGGTGTCTTCACTTAGTTACTGGCAAACTTAAGGCTATTAAGTTACAGAGGACAGAAGAAAATTCTGAACTAGTCATGTTTTGAAATGTGAAACAGCTACCCATTCACTGGGGGTAGTTCAAAAGTCTCTAAAGCGATCAATTCACACTAAAGTTTTAAAGATCAAGCATAGCACCCGCTACAGACAAAGCATCCACACTCCCAATACTACAACAGAACTTGCCTTTCATTTCGACAACATCGACAGGTACCTGTTTTTCCCTCATTCGGAAAATTTCAAAATTTGTGACAACACCCTGTTTAAAAAAAAAAAAAAAAGCAAGAGTGACATTCTGGAAACTGAAAACAAAGACACAAGGGGCAGGGCAAGGATTTGATAAAAGATACTTGGTAAAGACAGAGGAGTATCTGAAGTGATTAAAATTATACCCATCATGATGAAATAGAACCCCAAATGCTGATAGAGGTATAAATTTGCAGTCTCTATGGGGAGGAACTAGATATTCTTTCTCTGGTCCAGAATCTTTTCCAAAGAACGGCCTTACAATGAATACTCATAAGCACAAATCATTTCAAGGGCGCGCAGTGCAGCTTGTTTACAAAACTTCTACAGTGTGCTCTGAAAGTTTACCACAAAGGAATGACTGTCAAGGAACAGTGTGAACATGGAGATACACTCTGTATAAAAGCAGGATGCAGTACTGGACGGAAATAGCTGAATGGGTCAGCACGATGTCACACAATGAAATTTACTCAGCCATAGAGAATGAAGCTCTAGCACATGCCACATCCTAGCTAACACCTTAAAACATGATGTTCAGTGAAGGATGCAGACACCAAAGGTCACATACTGTATGACTCCATTCATATGACATATCCAGAAAAGGAAATCCAGAGACTCAAAGCAATTAAATGGATGTTGGGTGCTAAGGTTTGAGGAGACTGTGAGTATGAGGAATGACCAGTAACGGGTATGGGATATCCCATATGGAGTGATAAAATGTTCTGGAATTAAGGCAGTGATGATGGCTGCCCAACCTTGTGAATGTACAAGAAGTCAATGAATTATAGACTGTAAAGGGATGACTTCTATGAAATGCAAATAATGTCTCAAGCATATCATTTTGTAAAAGGGCGAGGAACAATTTTATTAGAAGGAAAAAAAAAATTAGAGGGCTTTTTGGGCAATAAATATTAAATGATACAAAAACCTGAGTGCAGAACTGTTAAATATGCTATTTATTGTGTTTAGAAAGAAAAGTAAAAAGAAAATATTAATTTTAACTGCTAATAGAAAAGCCAGAGGAGGAGCTTCTACTATATCCCTTGCTAACTCCAACTATGCAAAAGCATTACTCAAAAAGTTTCATTAAAAAAACTATACACCTCAGTTTGAATCTGATAAGAGCTCTAAGCTATGAAATGCCAGCTAACTATTTTGGGCACCAGCTGGATCTGAAAATAACCCACAAACTGGAACCTCAAAACCCATTATACCAGGTTCCAAACGCAGCCTGATTTGGAAAAACACAGAAAGAAGGGCCTGTGCCCACTTGCATCCACTCACCTGGGTACCTTTTGGAGTTCTATCTACTTTAACACACAAGTAATCTCCATTTTTCTGCCAATGTAGCTTGCAATCCACAACATTAAACAGATTCCTAACTCTGATCTCTTGTCTTGTGGGAAGCTGCATCAGGGTTACCCTGGCTGGGATATCTTTGTCTTCAGGCACCCAAAAAGCTATTATGTTTCCTCCAGGAGACCAAGAGAAGTCTCTGCAGAACAAAGAAAATCAAAGGTTATACAGGACTGAAAAAATGATGACAAAAAGACTGCAGTTAAGAGCTGTCTCAGAGGTCCGCTTTAGTGTATTTAGACCAAAACCAGTAGCAGTGGTGTTACCAAGCACTTGCCACAGGTGCCCTTCCCTCGACTTGACACACAGGGCTGGGTGCTACTACACTTACTCTGGCTGTGAGGGGCTCATCATAATGCTACCAGGCCAACTGGCAGACCCACAGGATGCTCCACCCATGCTCCTGACTACCACATCCTGGTGCTACAAGCCAAATAAAGTATTTTGCAGGCTGATAACCCAGTTATACCACTGATGAATACTCCTTAAGATACTAGCAGAGAAGAAAACCCCAAACTAAAACATTAAGTAAGAGGGTTAATAAAAAGTTAGGGCAATTTCCTCTACTATAAATTATCCTAAAAGAGCGATGCCAAGTGAAAAATTCACCTATTCACATCTGTAAAGGCCCTCTTTACCACTGAGTTTATGGCAAATCAATTCCTGGCCTTACTTTTAATTACAAGCAATTTTTAACCAAGAATATCAAAATGATTAAGAAGTGTGAATGTCCCTGCTCTACTGACCTTTCCTGGAAAAAGATCAACTAACTCCCAGATGTCAAACAGAATATCTATGCCTTGACAGTGAAAATGAGCTGTATGTAATTCACTTATGGCCAAACACACCCTTGACAGTGAAAATGAGCTGTAATTCACTTATGGCCAAACACACCCTATTTTATAGATGACCTCTAAACCAAATAGAGCCTCCCCCTTAAAGATTTATTTATGCATACAAGAATGGGGGTGTAAGCTAGAGGTGCTGGGGTGTGGTGAAAGGACTCGGAGAGAGTAGGGAACAGAATAGGCAGATCTACTGAAATACACTGCTGAGGGGAGCAATAGGCAAGACAGGAGAGATCTGCTGTGCCATGTGGGTCAACTCCCTGGCCAGGGATTGAACTCTTGCTGCAGTGATTGATGATAACTTGATAGTGCTGTATCTTAACCCCTGTACCACTAGGGAGGCCCTAGGGCTCTCTCTTCCTCAGACCCTAAAACTCTTGATTCTGAGGCAAAGAATATGAAAGGAAAGAAACCCAACACTCCACAGCCATCAGGAAGGGGAAATGTGAGGGAGAGGGCTGAGGGGGAAGCCTGCTCACAAGACACCAAGAGAGTGCTAGACCCACAACTATGGACCATCCTGTTTCTAGAAGGACAAGCTCTACAAGGACGGTGTTTCCCGACTTTAACAACTGCCTACTCACGGGCTTGATGGAAATGTTTACTTACTTTATGCCAGATATCTTCAAACTCTTCTTGTCCAAAAGACCCATAGACTGCAGGGTAGGGGGAAAACATCACAATAAAGTCAAATCATTGCAAAGTCTCCATAATACACTTTTGACAAAAAAAGAAAAAGATTCTCTTTTCTCATGTGAGCTTGCCAGCAAGCAGCACAAGCAAAGCTGTTGAGATGAACAATTTAACAATCCACTTATAGCAGTTAAGTATACACCGTGGAAGTCATTTTCTCCCATCCTTGATTCTCTGCAGCAGCAGAAAAGGAGACAAGATAAAGATCAAAATCTAAACCCTATGCCTTCAATCTGGTTGTATAAAGTCCTTCCTTGTAACTACTACTACAAATTAAGGAAAGTACTCCACCTTCAAGCAGTTACTAAAAACAATAAACAAATGAAGGGTAATTCAAAACAGATAAATCAGAAAGTATTTGGATAATTAAATGACTTACTGGAGTCTCATAGATACTGAGTGTGTCCATTGTCATTCTGGCAAAGAATTTACCATCATGACTCCACCTAGAACAAAAAAAAAGAAGTGTAAGATTGTTTGGGGGGGAGGGGGAGAGTGGACAGCACCTATAAAGAGGTTATCACTAGCTACCACCTGTCCACTTACTTAAAAATAGGCCAATGGGCTGAGCTTTCACAGTGAAAACCTCTCTTCTTCTGTCCAGTCAGAATGTCCCAGATGATTATGGCCTGTGGGTCATCCTGCGTGTCCATCAGAGGGCTAAATGTCACCAGATATCTGTAACAACAGGGAAAATCTTTAGGACTTCCTCCCCTCCTCCATCTATCTACTTCCTCCTCTCCTCCATCTATCTAGTGTGTGGCTATGAGTACCTGATCCCATGCTATATATGTTCCTGAAGTACAGGTGAGGCCAGAACAAGCAGCTGAGATTAAAATGAAAATCATAAATGAAAATCCCAGGCCTGCCCAGCACTCTCTCCATCCAGAAATCCCACCCAAATGGAGGAAAACCACTTCCACAGTACCAGGATGCTACAAAGCCTCACCACTAAAATCATGACAAGAACAAATCCAAACAAGTCTGCTCATGGGCTCTGGCGGACACAGTAGTGAGGAATTCTCGTACTTCAGCTTCATGATGTTTAATTCAGAGGGCAGGTAAACAGAACCGATGGTCACGTGCAATTCAGAAACATGTCTGAGAAAGCACTTCTGTATCAGTTTTCCCCAGCAATCACTCTGACTGCTGGCATAACTACACTTGGGTATATAACAGGCAACTATCCAACCAGACTGCGCTCCTACAACTGTGGAGGTAGAAAATGCAGGAGCAAGTGCAATGCAAGCAACTTCTTTATAGGGCATCCACTACTACAACTTTTCCTCATGCGGTTCTTTAATCATATTGATTTGCTAGATTAAAAATGGCTCATCAAGATACCACCTCACCCCAGTGAGAATGGCACATCTTCAAACAACTAGCAACAATTGTTGGCGAGGATGTGGAGAAAAAG